TTTCCTGGGTTACTCTCCAAACCAAAAAGAGTACAAAGGTTATTCTCCAATCACCAGAAACTTCTGTACCTCAATGGATGTGACATTATTTGAAAATCAGCTGTATTATCCCAAACCTGAAATTCAAGGGGAGAACATTAGGGAATATCAACTTTGGAATATTGTCCGACAGTCAAAGAACCCTACATGCCTATCTTTACCTCAATCAAATTCAATACAAGACTTCCAGCCACTTCCATCCCAACCACAACCTGAAACCACTAATTATACAAAACACCAACAGCAAACTCAATCCCTTGATGATCAGCCTGTTCCCTGCCTACCTGAGAGTCAAATGCATTAAACACCTCTCCTGCACCTCAAGTCATGGATGACAACCAAAATCTCAACAAGGAATTGGTTATCTACACGTGGAAAAGGAACACTGAAAGGGACGTAGGGCACTCAACATGCTTCATGAATGACCAAGAACCTTAGCTACCTCTTATTCACACTCAAGATTACGTAGGCAAGAAAATTTCTGATCTTGACACTACATCTAGAATGAATGACTTAAACATTCCAATTGCTCAAAGAAAAGGAGTAAGAACTTGTAAAACTATGCCATCTGCAAGTACATTTCTTATGATGGATTATCTCCGTTTTGTTAGACTTTTTTATCTATATTGACAGTATATAGATTCCTAATTCCATCTAGGAAGCACTCAAGAATCCTAAATGGAAACAAGTAGTTAAGGATGAAATTAGAGCAATTGAGAAGAATAACACATGGGTAATTTTTGATCTTTTCTTTAGAAAGAAAACTGTTGGCTGTAAGTAAATTTTTACTATCAAGCATAAGGTGAATTGAAAACATTGAGAGATTAAAAGCCATGCTTGTTGCAAAGGGATTTACTCAGTTATATGGAATAGATTATTAGGAAAACTTTCCTCCAATGGCCAAATTCAATACTATAAGGGTTTTCCTCTTCTTTGCAGCAAATCTAGATTGACCACTATACCAACTTGATATCAAAACTATATTTCTAAATTGAGATATTGAGGAAGAGCTGTACATGGACATTCTTCAAAGGCTTGAAACAAACCTCAATACCAACAAGATTTGCAAACTGAAAAAATCACTCTATGGCCTAAAACAGTTCCCACAGTCTGGTTTGGGAGGTTCACAAAATTCATCAGGAAAACTGGGTGCAAAATATCAAGTTGATTACACTCTCTTTCTGAAAAGATCGCCACAAAAGAAAATTGCTAAGTACTGTATGTTGACATATCATACTTACAAGTGATGATGAAGAGAAATTGTTTTATTTTTGAAATAAAAAGTGTGAAATGTGTATTAATCATGGTACCAAAAGAACGGAGGTATCACTCATGTACAAAAGCATTTATATTGGAATTAATATATCAATGACATTCCCAAAATCTACATCACTAGTGATTGCATGACTTAGCATAATCGACCTGAATAAATGTATCCACCTATCTATTAATCTATTAGTACTTTTCTCAACCCTATTAAAAACTCTCCTATTCCTCTCTTTCCAAATGATCCAAAAAACAGTCAAAGAAATTATGTTTTTTATATTTTTTTTTATATAAAAACCATCCTAAGCCCAAATCTCCCTCCCGACCGAACCCGAAGTGACCCAATTAATCCCTAATAAACCATAAATCTTACACCATAAATTATAAGCAGTGGGGCACCATAAAATTAGGTGGTTACACGTCTCCTCAGCCTTAAGACAGCAGTAGCAACCGTTAACAATGATTCTCCCCATGATTTTCAATCTGTCCAAAGTTAGACTTCTTTCCCAACATGCCTCCCACGCAAAAAAAGCAATTCTAGGTGGAATTTTTGTCTTCCAGATTAGTTTTGCTGGAAATTCTAATCTGTT